CTGGTTGCGGCGGAGGTTGGTCATTTTCTAAACAGGAAACAGTGTGGTATGACGGGATGGGGTGCATTGAAGTTGGATATGGCAAAGGCATATGATCGCATGGAATGGTCATTCCTACGTAATATGTTGAGGGCGTTGGGCTTTGATGATAGGTGGGTGGAGCTAATAATGTTATGTGTGACCACTGTGTCTTATAACATTTTACTGAATGGTTCTCGTAGTTTGCCTATTACTCCGATGCGTGGACTTAGACAGGGTGACCCTTTATCCCCATATCTCTTTATTATCTGTGCTGAAGGTTTATCATTATTGCTACAACAGGCGCAGTCCCAAGGAAAAATTCATGGTTGTAGAGTTGCGAGAGGTGCATCACCTATATCCCATTTGTTTTTTGCTGATGATAGCCTCTTGTTTTTCAAGGCAAAGATTCAGGAAGCTGAGGTAGTGAAACAGTGCTTATCACGTACGATATGAAAGATTATCTGGCCAAGTAGTCAATTATCATAAATCAAGTATTTGCTACAGTAAGAACACGAGAGATGAAGACAGGAATGATGTGGCACTTATTTTAGGTGTGGACCAAGCTTCCAACTATGGGAAATATTTGGGGCTGCCCTCTTTTATAGGGAGAAATAAAAAAGCGGCCTTCTCGTACATTGAGGACAAGATCAGGCAAAGGATTGTATCATGGAATAAAAAGCTGTTAACACAGGCTGGTAAGGAGGTTTTATTGAAAAGTGTGGCTCAAGCTATGCCTACTTTTTCAATGAGCGTGTTCTTATTACCAATGGGGATATGTACAGCCATTGAGCGCACCATGAATCATTACTGGTGGGGATCTGGGAATGATCGTGGCATCCATTGGAAGGCCTGGGATAGAATGTGTATACCAAAAAAGTATGGGGGTTTGGGTTTCAAGGAGTTACATGCTTTCAACCTGGCAATGTTGGGTAAACAAGCATGGCGATTACTCACTAAGCCTGAGTTGCTAGTTTCAAAAGTTTATAAAGCCAGGTACTATCCTAAAGGGACATTTTATGAGGCGTGTGTGGGAAATAATCCGAGCTACTGCTGGCGCAGTATCATGGCATCCCATGATATGATATGTAAGGGGATCAGGAGGAGAATTGGAAATGGGGATATAACTTTAATATGGGACCATCCATGGTTGCAGGATCAACATGAGCCAAAGATTCAAACAGAAAAGCCTATATTTTTGAATGGTGCGACTGTTAAGGTGTTAATGGACCCGGAGACACAGACATGGGATATATATTGACTGATATTTTTGATCCCATTGATATACCCAGGATTTTGAAAATACCAGTATCACCAGGCTATGATGATATGTGGTATTGGTATGGGGACCAGGGAGGAAACTATACAGTGAAGAATGGCTACAGAGCTATTATTGGAGAGCGTGACCATACTACGACCGGATTTAATAATTAGCAAGGCCTATGGAAGCTCAAAATACCTCCCAAATGGAAAACTTTCTTATGGAGAGCATTGAGTGATATCCTCCCCACTATGACAAATCTGATTATAAAGAGAGTGGATATACAACCAACATGTGCAATGTGTGGAGTGACTAATGAACACACAATGCATGCTCTAGTATTGTGTGACTATGCTAAGGCCATCTGGAGTCAATCCCACCTTCCAATCCCCATCAACAACACAAATATTTTCTATGATTGGTTTAGTGAACTATTAAATGTTTTAGACACTAACCAAATTACCCACGTAGCTGCAATTTTATATTACATTTGGAGAGCCAGGAATGGAGCGGTGTGGGATGCATGCCTACCGCGTCCGCGAAAGGTCATTGCCGCAGCCGCTGCCGGAGTTTGTGCGTGGCAGCAAGCGCATTCTATCCGAATCCCCTCGCTGGCGCAACGAACTGCTGTCTCGGCCGAGAACATGCAGGCTGCACCCCATCCTTTGCCCACTGCAGAAAATATATTACCGGAACACCATGTGCCGCACAAATGCTATTTCGATGCTAGTTTCTCGCGACACACGGGGATGGCTACCGCTGGGGCGGTGTTGTTGACTGGAGGAGGAGAGTATGTATCGGCTTGCACTATAAGATTACCAGATTGTCAGTCCCCACTTATGGCCGAAGCACTGGCGTGTAAGGAAGTACTATCATGGTTATGGGCTCGTGGAGATCACTCTATACAATTATTCACGAATTGCTTGACACTACAACAATACCTCTCACACTCAGCGACCTCTCTTAGGTCGTATGTTGGCTATGTCATAGATGCCTGCAGGGCGCGTATCGTTTCTTTTAATTTTTGTTCAGTTGTTTACATTCCTAGATCAGAGAATTATTTAGCTCATACGTTAGCTTTACCTATTCCAAGTCAGCCTGCTACTATGTATTGAGACTCTGTTCCGCCTCACGCTATTTCGCAGTATTTTGAATAAATGCCATGACGGCTCCTTTCAAAAAAACAAATGTTTTCAAATTGAGCACCAATGTATACGTATTGTGCGTACAAAATGCTTATTGGCACCTCCAACTCCCGGATCAGACTGCAGAAGAATCCAAGTCAATCCATACAATTAATAAGTCTATTGTCAGCTGCCCAAATCTCACGTTGGGATTCAGATTTACGCTAGCTAGAATTGCTTAATTAGAAGGTCTTTGGTGAAAATGCATGCACTTCCCTATTTTCACGCACTCTACTCACAATCGCTACAAAATAAAAATGGAAAGAAATATCTGTCTCAACTAAAAATCTAAATTATATTGATCATTGAATTATCCTTTTATATTGTCTCTTGTTTATGCATACCGATTACTTTTTGATAAAGATACCAAATTGTAGAATATGTTACGTCTCAACTAAAAATTTAAATTGATAGTTAAATTACTTATTTGATTATTTTTTGATCAACGATAAAAACCAAATATTTTTTTAATAAATAAACTACACACTAATATATTTGTTTATATATACTTCACAATTTTTTTTTTATTTAGATTAAAATCAAACTTGTCGTATAAAGTTCTAAGTTTATATTATTAGATTACAAAAATCTTAATGAATATGCTTCTTAATATATAAAGTTAAAATATTGTATTATTTCTAAATTTCATGAACTTCCTATGTCATATATGGAACTTGAAAATTATTTACTTCTATTTTGAAACATATTAGTTTGTTATTATCATACTGGATGACATGAGCACATCATAATTGCCCATGTTTATGTAAATAATTATTTTAAGAAATATCGTTAAAGAAGAATTATATCTAATTGACCCACAAAATTAAAGCATTCCCAACAAAAATCCAAAGCACTTTACTAATATTCAGACTTGGTTAATGTTTTAATTAATCGCTTAGCTTATTATTAAATTATGTTCATTGAGAAACATCTAAACATACATGATCCCATAACCATTCAACTTTTCAATCATAATATTTGTTTATTCTAAAGACTACTCTATAGTTCACTAATTCTTTATGGATTTGACAAATTTTTTAATTTATTTTTTTAACATTTTCTTGACACATTTAATTATTAGTCTTTTACTTTCAAATTTCTTCTACATTTAATCCAACATTTTTAAGTACAGTCCTTATACTACTGTGCGGACATTTTACTAAATTCCATCGTATAACATGTGAGAACATTTGGAACTGGACATGAAATAATTTTGACAACTAATTTTTAATTCCACTTTTATATGTGCATATACTATAATAATTAGTTAATTACATTGTTATTTTAGTAAATTAAGTTTAGATTTTTTTTATTTAAAAAGTGAATACAATTTATTGTAAAGCTGTAAAGGTAATAAATTAAACATGTCCAGTCCTATCTGAGTTAATTGGGTAGTTGGTTTGATAGCTACAAAGTTATCAGTTTCACTTCAATTAAAATGTATTTTCAGATAATGATGGTAGATTTTTTTGTAAATTAATAAATCAAACAAAAAAAAAAAAAGTAAAGAAAATAAGAATTTGTCAAGCACTTTATGTTCAGGTTACATGTAATGATCTCTCTCATGTGAGAGGTCATGAGATCGAGTCTTAGTGGAGGTTTGATGATATCATGACTTTTTGTGCTTCATTAGGTTGGGCAAATATGTTTAAACAGATATGACAATGTAATGGAGTCAGTGACATTAAAATTTTTTTTTAAAAAAAAAGGTTTATGGGTGCTCTTTAATGTGATGGGACAAATGTAATGCAGTTTAACTTTTGCAAAGACTACAGCACAGGTCGGAAGGTCGCTAGTCAACAGTGCAATTTTCCACACGGTCCGAGACTCATGCTATCAAATGAATATTATTGACTGAAATACAAATTAATTTTCGTTTACTTCAATTATTTATTTATTTTTATTTTTAATCCCTATTCTTTATTTTTAAAATGTAAAAATAAACGTATTCTTTTTCTCTTTTGTCCAATTTTTCATTTTCCTAATTTCATTTATCTAATTTTTTTATTTTTCTAAAAAATGAATATTTTGATGCAAATTATTTGTATAAAAAAATAACAGATTTTTAAAGTTGGACAAGATTAGATACAACAAAGGCAAATACTATCTTATAAAGAATCATAAGTGTTTAAAAAAATATATGAAGAGATATATGGGGTGTTTGGTAAATACGGAGTAACTATTGTCTGTTAGTTGATTGTGTTAGTGAGTTTAACTAGTTAATAACATTAGTTGATGGTAGAAAAGTGTTTAGTAAATTAGCCGCGCTGATTATATGTAAAATGACTTTTTTAAAAAAAAATTGTTTTGAATAACTTTTTTAATTTTAACATTTTGGAGCAATAAGTTTTACAAAAAATTAATATTGGTATAATTAGATATATTATTTTAAGCATTCAAAAAAAGATATATTATTTTAAAAAAATATTTTTATTATCCTGTTTGAGTCCATTGTCCACAAGCAAAGTGTGGCGTTCTGTTGCTATAAAAGACAGAGGAATCGGCATTCAAACTAAACCACCGGAAAATTGTGCAGAATGGCCTTCCGTTCTTCACTATCTCTCTTCTTGATTTTCAGTTCAATCCTTGCTGCTCAGGCGAGGCTAACCCTCTACCCCCCAGGCCATGATGCACTTGTTCTACTACAAAAAGGCCTGGGCGTTTATACCCAAAACCAAAATCCATGTTACGGCTATGGAGTCTTCTGCGAAAAGCGGGTAGCTGACAATTCCAGCGTGCTGAGAGTTGTGCGAATAGTGTATGAGAACAAGCAGACACGGGGGAATCTTTCTCCGGCCATAGGGAGGTTGTCGGAGATCAGAGAGCTCTCTCTTCCCAACAACGAACTCGTCGGAAACATCCCACCTCAGATCCTTCTTTGCAAGAAGCTGGAAGTCCTGAACCTTCAAAGAAACCAGTTTTCCGGCCAAGTTCCGGCTGAACTCTCGTCTTTGATCCGCCTCCGGGTCCTTGACCTTTCCTCAAATCAGCTTTCTGGGAACTTGAACTTCCTCAAATACTTCCCCAACTTGGAAAAACTATCCCTAGCTGATAACCTCTTCACTGGGAAAATCCCCCCCTCCTTGAAATCCTTCAGAAACCTCCGTTTCTTCAATGTTTCTGGCAACAGTTTACTCGAAGGTCCAGTCCCAAAAATGACCCAACTGGAGTATTTATCCGCGGATTCCAGTAATTCCACAGAATATAGTACGCTCCCAAAACGTTATGTTTTGGCCGAGAGAAGAAAACCCACCACTACTGCAATGGCACCTTCTGCAAGTAAAGGAAGTAACCCATCATCATCATCATCATCAGCACCCGCGCCCTCACCAGAATCACCCAAAGATTCCCACCACAAGAAGAAGAAACGAAAGGTTGCTGGATGGATGCTCGGCTTCCTAGCCGGAGCAATTGCAGGGACTTTAAGCGGCTTCATAAGCTCAGTTCTGTTCAAGCTGTTCATGATTTACCTGGGACGTGAGAAGAAAGACACAGGGATAACACTGTTCAGTTCCATGATCAAGAAAGCAGAGGACTTATCTTTCCTGGAGAAAGAAGACGGGCTGGCCACGCTTGAGTTGATAGGAAGAGGTGGGTGTGGGCAAGTATACAAGGGAGAGATTCCTGGATTGAAGATAGCTATCAAGAAGATAGATCAACCCCACAAGGAAGCCGCGGAGCTGACTCAAGAAGACACCAAAGAGCTCCACAAAAAGATGCGTCAGATCAAATCGGAGATCAAAATCGTGGGCCAAATCCGGCACCGGAATCTACTCCCTCTCCTGGCACACGTGCCCAATAAGGACTGCCATTACCTGGTGTACGAATACATGAAAAACGGGAGCCTTCAAGATGTTCTGGAGAAAGTGTCGCAGGGAAATGCGGAGCTGGATTGGATATCCCGGCACAGGATTGCACTGGGGATAGCGGCGGGACTGGAATATCTCCATTCCCACTCCGAGCGGATAACCCACAGGGACTTAAAGCCAGCCAATATCCTCCTGGACGACGACATGGAAGCCAGGATTACTGATTTCGGGCTGGCAAAGGCGGTGCCGGAGGCGTATACACATGTGACCACCTCAGTGGTGGCGGGGACGCCGGGGTTCATCGCGCCGGAGTATCAAAAGACGTTTAAGTTCACGGAGAAGTGCGATATATACAGCTTCGGGGTGTTGCTGGCTGTTCTGTTGATCGGAAAGCTTCCATCCCATGAATTCTTCCAGTCGACACCGGAGCTTTTTCTGGTGAAATGGTTGAGGAGTAAGATGGTTTCGGAGGATCCGAAGAGGGCAATAGATCCTAAACTGATGGGAAATGGGTACGAGGATCAGATGCTTTTAGTTCTGAGGATTGCTTGCTTTTGCACTCTAGAGAATCCCAAAGAAAGGCCCAGCAGCAAGGATGTCCGGTGCATGTTATCCCAGATTCAGTACTTATAACCGAACACACCCTAAGGTCCCACAATACAAACAAACCGTAAACTCTTTTATATATGTTCTTAGCATGCATCTTTACTTTTGATTTTGATTTCGACTATATACTTGCAATTAAATCAAAAGTGCCATCCATTTCACTTGTTAAAAATAAATATATATTTTGATGTTATATAAGTTGCCCGGCCTTATGGTCTTATTTGTTACAAGTTGTACCAAATATAGTTTGGTTTTACGAAATTGTTTTAAATATAAACCTTCACTTTGTCAAATATTAAATTATGGAGCTGATCATTTCTTCATAGGCTCTGTTTGGTATTGCCTAAGCTGAAATTAAAGCTGAATGTTGAATAGTTAGTAGTTAATAAACTAACTAATTAAAATTAAAGTGTTTGATAAAATTAATTATTGAACTCGTTATAAGTGTAAAAGACATAAAAGAATAAAATAAGATACTAGGATTTTGATTAATGAATGGTAAATGATGTCATTTTTATAAATTAATAAAATAGTTAATGCCAAATGGAGTCTTCCGGGTACAGTGGTTTTGTCATGTTTAATTCTAAACTTTCTAATTGACTATCTGTGCTCCTTCGACTTTCAAATTTAACTATTCGTGGTCCAAGTAAACCACTCATGTTCCTTTAAGTTTCAAAATTTAACCAGTCGTTGTCCTCTTGAAATGACCATGGTTGGTTAAAATTTAATAGTTGAAGGACCATTGATGATTAACTTGGACCACGGATGGTAACAATTTGAAAGTCGAAAGACCACATTGGTCAATTTGAAAATTTATGACTAAACGTGGCAAAATCACTATATTCGGAGGACCTCAGATAGTATTAATTAACTCATTAATAAAAAAAAGTATAAAAATCAAGAGTTCATTTTGAAATGCTATTTGGAGTAGTGTTTCAAAATAAACTATTATTTTAAACTTATCATGTTTTATTAAACAAAGTTTATAATTTATTAATAGTTTAAAATAAATTCTACTAAACAAAGCCTATGGGCGTTTGGTTCACGGAATGTTTGATTACCTTAGGAAATATTAGATGGTTGTGAATGTTAGATTACTACGTTTGGTTAAAATTGAGGTATGTAATATAAACATGTTTGGTTGAAGAGGTTTTTATTTTTTATTTTTTTGGAGTATTTTGCTTTAATATTTGTAACCTATTTTTATGTATTTCAAAAAATTTTAAAATTAAAATAAATAAATAAGGCAATGATAAAATATAGAAGTAAATCATTTAAAAACAACTAACTAAAGAGTTTGAACTTGAAAAATATTCTATGTCTTAAATGGGAGAAAAATTAATGGATTAAAATTGAAAAATTAATAAAGACAAGGGAATGTGAGAATACCTAAGGAAGGGGAAGTATCTCACATTCCGTGTTCCCTTCAAATAATAATTGACATTTAAATCTATACCAAGACAATTTTGCATTGAGAAATTGTCCCAGTATTGTTCTCTCATAATTAGTGCTATGACTTGTAGTCTTCTAGGCAATGATATGTTTAGAATTTAAACTATAATCACTTGTTGATCAAGACAATCCTTCAAGGACTATAATATAATAATGTATCATTTCCGGTCAAAAATTAAATTCATTAAATCATTGTAGACATGCATGAATTTGTATAAGTAGTAATTAAATTAGCAATCAACACCAAAAGCATATCATAATTCATAAGACATAATTAATCCTCATTAAAACAAATAAATATTTTTCCGTGGAAAGTCAATAAATATAGCCAGGTATATTGATACGATCTCACATCGGCTCCATAAGAGATTGTGGAGTAGTACTTAAATTGGAGCCAAATCTCCACTCATGAGCTAGTTTTTGTGGTGGAGTTAGGGTCTTGACTTGAGTACCGTATCATATATATATATATATATATATATATATGCCAATTGATTGATTTGTGAGTAATATTATTATTATTGTTGTTATTGTATTTAGTTGGTTTAGTCTTCTGGCTAACCTATTAGATAGGAGTGATATTATTATTATTGTATTTAGTTGGTTTAGTCTTCTATGGCTAACCTATGAATGAAAACATTACTCTCATCTGGTATTAGTCGAGTGAATGAAAACATTACTCTCATCTGGTATCAGTCAGCCAACGTTCATTTTTCCTATTTTTCCTCTCCTTCACCGATCACAATGTCAACTAATTCTTCCGAGAGAACGGTGACTGCCGCCACCGTTTCTACTCCGGCCACCACCCCAAACACCCTCTCCTCTGCCCATCATTTTGTGTCCATTAAGCTAAACACCCGCAATTTTTTGTTCTGGCGAACCCAACTCGTTCCCTTTTTCAACGGTCAAGGACTGCTCGGGTTCGTAGATGGTGAAATCCCTTGCCCTCCACCTACCATCGTCGCTCCCCCGTCCTCCGGCGACTCTGGCACTGTGACGGTGACGACTGCTGCAACTTCCGGCACCAATCCCGCGTACAAAGCATGGGTGCAGCAGGACCAGTCCATCATGTCTCTCCTCATCTCCTCGCTTTCGGATGAAGTTATGTATCTGGCGGTTGGCCGGAGCACTTCGCGGGAGGTGTGGAACTCGGTCACGGCCGCGCTAGGGTCATGTTCCAGAGCGCGGTGTCTCAACCTGTTGGGCCAATTTCAGTCCCTTCGTCAAGGGAATAGCTCTCCGGTGGAATACCTCGGAAGAGCTCAACTGATCGTCGAGGCACTTGCGCTGGCCGGCCGACCTCTCTCCCTAGACGAACAAAATATGTACGTGTTTAGGGGGTTGCGGCCGGAATTCCGGACAATGGCGTCTACTCTCACAGTCACAGGTACACATGTCTCCATCCCTCAGCTTTCGGACTATCTGTAGGCACATGAGTTTATTCCCTCCGATGACTATCCGGTCAACACCAATGACAGAGGCGCTACGGGTTCTCCGGCGACTTTCTACGCTGGGTGAGGCCGGTAGCAACCTGGAGATGGCCACAACGGCCGCGGTGGGCAGAACCGAGGCCGGCAAGGGCGAGGGCGATGAGGATCAGGCCGCGACAGAGGTGGTGCTCCCCGGTGTCAAATCTGCCGCTCCCACGGGCACACATCCGTTTATTGTTTCAAACGGTATACGACTCAACCACCGGCGCAGGCGAATCTAGTCGTCGCCAGTGATGAAGCATCCACAACGGCGGCAGGTTCCTGGTTCCTGGACACCGAGGCTACCGCGCATGCTACACCGGAGGCGGCAATGATGTCGCAGTCCGAAGAATATACAGGCAATGATGTGTTGTGAGTCGGGAACGGCACAGGGTTGACAATCTCACGAGTGGGCCATGCATCTATTCCATCTCAGTTTAAATCTTTGTCTTTGTCTAATGTTTTGCATGTACCCAATCTGTCAATTCCCTTATTATCTGTACATCGGTTTACAAACGAAAATAATGTTTATTTCGGATTTCACAAAAATTGTTTCTTTGTGAAGGATTCCGTCACCAGGGCGACACTTCTTAGGGGTCTCGCCTCGGGCGGATTGTACAAGCTTCTGGTGTCACAATCACATTTTCCGTTCATAAGCTCCCGGGCCACTCCTGGGGTGTTGCATCGCAGGTTGGGTCATCTGAATAATCAAGTCCAGAACCATGTCCTCCGAAATTGTCTGGTCACCAAAAATAAGTCTGAGGCGTGAGGGTCGTGCACAGCATGCCATCATGGAAAGTCATCACATTTTCCATTAGATAGAGTAGCATTATCTAGTCAAAATGTGTTAGATTTGCTGTACACTGATATTTGTGGCCTCGCCCCCTTTATTTCCTCTTTGGGCTTTCGTTATTTCTTACTGTTTGTAGACGATCACTCCCGATTTTGCTGGTTTTATCCATTAAGGCAAAAATCGAACATTTATAAAAATTTTGAGTCCATCCGCGTAATGGTAGAATGCCAGTTTTCGCGTTCTATCAAATCCATCCAATTCGATCTAGGGGGTGAATACCAAAAACTCCACAAACCTTTCAATCTCTTGGCATTATTCATAGGCAATCTTGTGCCTACACACATGGACAAAACGGCAGGATGGAACGCCGCAATCTACATATTGTTGAGACCGGGTTAGCCCTCCTTGCCGAGGCCTCAGTATCACTACAATACTGGGACTATGCCTTTGAAACAGCCACATGTCTAATCAACTACCTACCCTCGTCAACTTTAAAATTTGAAAGCCCATACACTCGATTACACAAAGTGTCTTCCCCATACACGTTTCTAAGGGTATTCGGGTGTCGGTGTTATCCCTATCTCAGGTCGTACAATCGGCACAAGATAGAGTACCGATCAGCACCCTGTGCCTTCTTAGGTTATCCCCCGTCTTTTAGGGGTTACAAGTGCATGGACCTAACAACGGGGAAAGTCTTTATCTGTCGTCATGTCCGATTTGATGAATCTTATTTTCCATTTACAGATTCTTCTTTACAGGACCGTTTCCAGGACCCCGGTTTGTGGCTCTTTGTGACAAGCTCAATGTGGTTTCTCACCACCCTTGTGCTTAAGGGGGTGTGTGAGTAATATTATTATTATTGTTATCATTTGTATTGTTATTATTGTATTTAGTTGGTTTAGTCTTCTATGGCTAACCTATTAGATAGGAGTTGTTTGTGCTTTCTACTTCCTATAGTATTGTAACTCTTATCTCTTCTGAACTGAATGAAAACATTACTCTCATCTGATTGTCCATAATATGACCCATATTTTAACAAGGTAATAAGCCTTTTCATACCAAAGGAGACCGATGATGAGACGGTCCAGACAGTGATGATGGGTATAATCGGGATGACCTTGCGAATATATCGAAGAAGAGAAGCATTGACGATGAGGTTAAATTGGCTAGAGTCTCGTACTAATAATGTGTTGTAATTTTAGTGTATTCTTGTATCAATCTTGTATAATCATAAGATCATATATGCACAATAAAATTCAGAATAGAGGAGAGAGGAAGAAGAAGAAACAGTTTTAATAACTGAATGAATATATATATACATACAATTTAGTAACTGCATCTATGCTAGAAAATAGGTGGATAATGACCACAAGCCCACAACATTAAATATATTTTACAGCAAACCAAACACCATTGTTTTAGTTTAATTACCTTTTATTTCATGACAAAAAAAGATTTACTACTGCATCCCTGCCAAGTCCCAAATTTGTCTTGATATTAGCAAATACACTGCTCCAGAAAAGGCGAAGGAAATCCCCATGGAATTTAAGCGAACAAATTGTATCAAGAAGCGAGTCAACGATTTTGAGAAAATATAATATAATTAATTAATACATAAAATAATGACAAAATGAGATATTCAGTACCACAATCTAAGAAAAAACGAAAGAAATTCCCTGTCGGTGGGAAGAAAACAAGTGGAAAATACTGCTTATATATATTTCAAGAGTATACATACTATTATTGCTATATATGTGACCTATATTTTTGATGGGCTAAAAGGGAACAAATAAATGAAGATATATAGTGTCACTTAAAATTATGATTGGGTAATGAATAAACTTGAAATACATGTAGGCTCTGTTTGGTAAATAGCTGTTAGCTGATAATTCTTAGTTGTTAGCTGATTGTGTTAATTAGGGAGTGTAACTAGTTGATAACATTAGCTGTTGTAGAAAAGTGTTTGGTAAATTAGTTGTTAACTGATAGCTGTTTGGTATAATTTCTTTTAGAAATAAGGGTCAAATAGGCCATCGAACTACACACGAAAATGCAATTAGGCCACTGAACTCAAAAAACATGCAATTGGATCCCTGAATAACGCAAAATGATGCAATTGAACCCAAAAGTGACCTACTTACCTGGACTGGAGGTTATTTTATTAAAATAATACTTTTTTATTTTATTAAATAACTGTAAATAATAAAATTAAAAAAAAAAAAAAAACGCATCGCCTCCAGGCCGCCGGAGACGAAGACAGACGTTCCATGCCGGAGAAGAAGGGACGACTAGGGACGTCGTCCCTTCTTCTCCAGGCTGGAAACGAAGGGCTCCCTTCGTCTCTAGGCCGGAGACGAAGGGCTTCCTTCGTCTCCAGGCTGGAAACGAAGGGCTCCCTTCGTCTCTAGGCCGGAGACGAAGGGCTTCCTTCGTCTCCAGGCCGGAGATGAAGGGACGTCTTCGTCACCAGGCTGCCGGCGGCCAGGAGAAGAGGGTTTTTTTTTTTTTTTTTTTTTTTAATAAATAATTTTGTTATTTACAATTATTTAATAAAATAAAAAATTATTATTTTAATAAAATAACCTCCACTTCAGGTAAGCAGGTCACTTTTGGGTTCAATTTCTTCATTTTGCGTTGTTCAGGGACCTAATTGCATGTTTTTTTAGTTCAGTGGCCCAATTGCATTTTCGTGTGTAGTTCGATGGCTAATTTGACCCTTATTCATTTCTTTTATAAAAAAACTAATTGAAAAAGTTGTTTGGAGTAACTTTTTAAATTTTAACATTTTGGAGTTACAAAAAACTAATTAACCAAACACTTATATTGATATTTTAACTAAATTAAACAATTAATAGTGATCAAATAAGCTAAAATTGACCTATATATAGGCCAATTTTTTACCAAACAGGGCCGTAATAAAACTTATTGTGACTTTGTGTAAAAAAATATACCAAAAAAAAAAAACAAACAATTGTCCAAATAAATTTAAAATTATATTGTATAATCTTCTTGTTTAGTCGCACAAGTATACGATCTCTAATTCATTCACCAAACATATAGGGAAGGGAAAAAACTTTAAAGGAAAGGAATAATTTTCTACTCTTTGTACGTTTTTCTCAAAAGTTATATACATCTCTTAAGATTTTGAAATAAAAGATAATAGCTATTTGTAATAGAATTATCTCTTTAAATTCTTTTTTTTTTTTTTTAAGAAAACTGAAATTACTTTAAAAAAAAAAAACTTTAAGATAACCAATAAACTTTATCTTACATTGATTTAATGGAAAGTCCACACTCACTAATTGAAAGTACATTCTGATTAAAACTCACTTTGTGACTAGTTGGTAAACAACCACATGTAATAAACCAACTTAGCTTGTTCATAGCTTAACTCAAAAAAAAAAAAAAAAAGTCAGTATACAATTCTCACGGAAAGTTGAACTTAATTGAAATATCTAACTTGGTTTGTACAAATTTATCCTTAACCTCAAATCTGGCTAAGGAGTAATCTTTTTTGAATGGCTACTAGCTCTATTACATTGTAGTATCTGTTCATATACTTTCTCAACCTACTGAAACACAAAGAGCTAATAACGCCTCCACTGAGGCTTGAACTTACAACCTTCCAAATGGAAATCCAACCCGGATACCATTAGACTACATAGTCCTGGCTAAGGAGTAATCTATTGTTTTAAAAGTTGTCAAAACTGAACAAAATAATAATATTTTAAACTTTTCATGTTTTACCAAATAGAGCTAACTTATAGTTTATTTGTAATAAAAATAAGCTAAACTCTACTAAACAGAGCCATATGTCAACAACTAGTTCATGCACTATTTGTGAAGTCTAAGGTGGGTGTATTCAATCATGACTTTTGTAGAGTTTTAAAGACTTTTAAAATGATAGATTTTAATAAACTTTGATTGACTTTCATAGAGTCGTTCAAAACCTTTTAAAACTTTATAAGACTCTATAAAAGTCTATATAAAAAACATTCATGGACTTTTATCAACTTTTTATTTTAAAAAGTCTACCAAAGTCATTGAAATTCTAAATTGAATACATCCTTACAAACTTTCAATGATTTTGATTCTTATCATTTATATATAATTTTCTTACAAAATATTTATAATATATCATAAAATTTTCATATTATATAGTTCTTCACCCACATCAACATTATTACTTATTTCCATAATATGTAGGTTGAGACTTATATGCTAATTACTTATATATATTATTAATAAATATAAAAAAAATTATTTCATTAGAAATTCATAACAATATTGAATAATAAAATTTATAATAAAAGAATTGATCAAATAAAATATTTAAAAATATAATTACAAGTTGCATAAAATAAAAAAAATAAAAATTTAATATTATTTATAATATATATATATATATATATATATATATATATATATATATATAAAAATTATACTTGATATATTGCTAGGCATCACGCAAAGAACTATTATTTGAAATAAGAGACTCTGAACAACAAGAAGCTGCTACTGTTTGTAACCCCAAATTGTTGTTGCGAACAGTAGTTCGCTATTCGTAGTAACTTGTTAAAAATAGGAAAAATATATATTACGAATATAAACATAAAAAGAATAAAAATCAAAATATATAAGTATTTATATGAATATTATGAAACATATACTAAAATTTGATGATGAAAAATTTGCTTTGTTCATGTATTTAGGAAGAATTAGAGAAAGTTATGGATAAAAAATTCATTGGAAAAATAAAAATCAATATAAACAAGCAATAATGAAGTAAAAATAATATTATTTCAAATTTTTAGAGGAAGATTGTAAAGTTTAGGAGAGAGAAAAAAAATTGGTAGAATTTTAGGTATGAGGAAAATATGGGATAATGAAGAAAAAATTAATTTTATTAAATTTAGATAAGTTTATAAAGTTTAAATAGGGAGAAAAATAGAGTTTAAGTAGAGAGAGAAAACATTCAAAGTTAGAAAGAAAATTTTGAAATCTTGGGGTTGATGGTTGGATTTCAACTATTTATATTTAAGAAGGAAAAGTCTACAAAAGTCTTAAAATTAAAAAGTCTACAAAAGTTCATAACTTTTTAAGGGTGTTGCTATTTGCACCACCCTTTGGTCAAAAGTAGGTATAAAGTATCTTGAAATTATAAAAAGGTGAAAATTTTTAATAATTACATAGGTGGTGTAAATAGTCAAATGGGAGTTCATTTTGCTATTTGCACCACCTTGGTCAAACCTCATTTATGAGGTGTAATTAATAATTTTTTAATTTAAAATTTAATTAAGAGAAAATTGTACTTTTTCTCCTTAAGTTATATACTTATAGTACTTTTTATCCCCGAATTATTCATGTTAGCATATTAGCCCCCTCAATTATTCTAAAAGTGACGATTTCTCCCCTGATATATTAAATTGACATTTCTACCCTTAAAGTAAACATTTTATTTATTTTTCTTCTCTAACAAATTATTGCGTATCCGTATGGATGACCACGGTTCAGTTCTAACTGAACCGGACACTATAACAATCGAATTAAAAGTTTCCGGTTAAGGGAAAATTGTACACTTTTTCCCTCTGAGTTATATGATTATAGCACTTTTTTTCTCTCAGTTATTTGTTTATTCACATTTGCTCCCTCAATTATATTAAAAGTGGCAAGTGTTCTCCATTTTATGTTAGGTGAACATTTTTACCCTTAAAACTAAATATTTCATTTATTTTTTCTTCTCCAACAAATTATTGTTTATATGTACGGATGATTATGGTTCGCTTCGAACAATTTTTTATTTTATTTCCAATTCAAAATTTATTTATTTATTATAAATTCTATTTCTTATTTTTAAAATAATATAAATTCAATAATTATTTTATTTTATTTCATTTTTTCGGTTCTGAATCGTAAGTATAAGAAAATAAAGTTGTGTTGTGCCTTCACAATTAGTTATATTTGTTCTATATTTTCTTTAAAATTTTTAACCCTAAGAATCTAAGCTCCACTCCCAAGGTTCGGACCTATGACCATTTATTTGAAATGGTAATTGAAATGTCATCATATTACATGATAGTTGACTTAATCATATTATATATAATAATTATATAAAAACCAATTGCTGTTAAATCAAAGTAATTGTAGATTACTAGTATATATGTCCTCTAATGAAGGTGTGCATTCCTCAAAAAGAGAGAAATCAAATATAATCTTAGATATAAAATCACACTCCAAAATGCCATTGGAACGTAATGGATTGTCAACTTCAATATGACTGTGAAAGCCTAAGAAATCCATACTTTTTCCCCCTTTTTATGAAGTTCGGAAGAGTAATATATAACACGTGTGATTGCAAATTAAAACAAACCCCCATTGGCTTTGCTTACGATTCAGAATCGAAAAAATAAAGTACAATAAAATAATTATTAAATTATTATTTTTTAAAAAATAAAATTTATAATAAATAAATAAATTTTGAACTGGCAATAAAATAAAAATAAAAAATTGTTTGAACTAAACCGTGACCATCCGTACATATAAACAATGATTTGTTATTCCAAAAGGCTGAACCCCAACCCTAATGATTTGTTGGAGAAGAAAAAATAAATGAAATATTTAGTTTTAATGGTAAAAATGTCTATCAAACATAAAAGGGAGGAAACATGCCACTTTTAATATAACTAGGAGGCAAATGTGGATTCATGAATAACTAAGAGGGAAAAAGGGTTAAAAGCATATACCTAAGGGGAAAAAATGTCATTTATAATAAATATTTGTTAAAAAAAATAATGTTTGACTAAAATTAATGAAGGTGGTGCAAATAGCAAATTTCTATTTACACCACCTAAAAGTTATCACACCTATTAAATAGGTGGTGTAAATAGCAATTAGGGTGGTGCAAATAGAATTCCCCCTTTTTAAATACCACATGACTTTTAAAGACTCTATAAAAGTCTTAATCGAATACCACACGACTTTTAAAGACTCTTTAAAAATCTTGATTGAATACCGCCTGACTTTTAAAGACTTTATAAAAGTTTAAATTGAATACCCCAAACTTTTATATAAAGTTTATAAAAGTCTTTAAAACTCTATGAAAGTCATGATTGAATACACCCCTAAGTCTAATGCTTAGAAAGTACAAATTGAGGTAGGAATCTAAGAACTACCCGACCCTGTAATGGATTTTTTTAATGATTTTTTTTTTCTTAGCTGAGGTGAGAAAAGAGAAGAATAAAAAAAACATATTGCAAATACAAGTTATTTGTGCGTTTCATTGACCCAAAAAAAAAAACAGTCATAGTACATGAGCGTTGAGCATACTTGTCACGCCCATCAAGTGTATACACTATATACGTGCAAGTTAGGCGCGTAAAATAATAATAATTATTATTATTATTTTTTTGCTTTTCTTAATTTTCTTTTCGTTTCTTCCCTTTTTTCCCACCCCTCTATTCTAGTTGACATTTAAAAAATTGAAGAAACAATTTCAACAATTAGAGATGCCCTAAAGATTCAACTATTTGTTTTGTTTTGTTTTTTTGTTTTGCTGCTTTTTTTTTTTTTTTTTTCACCCCTCTACCCCAGTTCACATCAATTTTTTTTTTTTTTTTTTTTTAAAAACTTCAGATTATTTAAGCAATCAATGAAGCTCATCACACTCTACCACTAATTGTCAAACAGGATCTCACTTTCACATTTTGTCACTTTCAGATTACATTTTGTCACAGGATTTCACTTTCACAAATAACAAAATTATTGCCTTAAAAGAGCTAGCATCTGGACTCATTATTCTAATTTAGCCTTTTAATTAATAAAAAAATTATGTCAAATTGATTGTATTTTTTTTAATACACATTCATGCCTACAACGACAACCAGGACCGATTCTGAGCATGTCTAACATGTGCGATCGCACAGGGGCTCCAATTTTTGGGGGCCCTATATTTAAAAAAAAAAATTATATGTATATATAGTATACAAGATTTCAGACTAAGTGCAAGAAGATTGATTCAATTTGTGATAAGGTGAAATTGAGCACAATTAGTAATTTCCTTCCATACTTTTGGTGGTTACCAATTCTTAAATTTCAATTGACAAGTACCATTGTAAATTAAGAATATAATGACAATTTACAATTCAAAATCTCAAACAATAATTAGCATCTTCGATCGGGACCTTCTGCTAATTAGCAATTACCATTATTTTTATTTTTTAATTGAATTCTCAAATCTCAATTAACAGCTTTTAAGAGGGATGAACAATGTGGTGATATTGATGGAACTAAACTGTATATTGAGCTAAAATTGTTTAGAGAGATTTTGTTGAAGAAAAGATAAGAGCAGTGAGTATATTGAATTCATTGAAACGGATGGGTTGTTTTCCAAATGATACTATTGCATATCTAATATTATTGATTATCCCAATAACTGTTGCCTATGCAAAAAAAAAAAAAAAAGAGTTTTTCAAAGTTGAAATTGATGAAATCTTACTTACAATCAGTGTGTTGCAAGAGAGACTCAATGAAATAGCTTTAATCTCCATTGAAAATGAGCTTTTGGAAAAAGTTTATATCAAAAGTTTGGTAGATGATTTTGCGTCTCAATGTGCACGGCGCATGTCACTTTTTAAGTGAAATTTTAGATGTATTTTTTATAAAATATTTATATTTCGATATAACTTTTTGAACAACTATTATTTATATATAGAAATTAATTTTTTTTAAAAAACCTCAAATTAAGATATTGCACAGTCTCAATTTTTATTGGAACGACCCTGACGACAACAAACAGTGTATATAAAGAAGCAGCACGACGTCCGCACGAGCTTAGCCCAATGATTCAATAAGCAATATTTAGAAGGAGAAGAGACTAAGGTTTAAACCTCAGCGACAACAATGTAGAAATATGCCCAAAGTGGATATATATTTTATGCGTCAAAAATACATTTTGTTATAATAATATTAGTAATATTATTTCTAATTAAACCAAGTCAATATTAAAATGAAATGTGAGGTGTGTGAATGTGAACGTGGGTGTATGTGCAGAAATATGTGGAAATGAAGTACATGGAATCATGGGCTTTACTCCCTAAATTTTAGCTTTGTTCTTTAGTATAAATAGGATGTATTCAATCAGTTTATTCATCAAATAAAATCACATTCATTCCTCTCTCTCTCTCTTCTCAATATATAAATATAATATATAGATATATTATATTTAATATATATTATAGATATATTATATTATATTTAATATATATATTATATTAAATATATTGTATTTAATATATCTTACATTTGGTATCAGAGCCAGTCAACCTTTCAACCCCGAGATATTGTTCGTAGTGAAATATGGCTACAAATTTCAATATTGTATGGTCGGGTCCCAAATTGGACGGGAAACTCGATTACAGTTATTGGCAAATTATGATGTCCACACATTTGCAAGCTCAAAATCTTTGGAGCTTTGTTGATCCCGGTCTACCCGAAGGAGCTGATGCAGCCGCTATACGACGAGATAAATTGGCCTTGGGTCAGATTCACCAAGGTGTTCATTATTCCATTTTTGGGCAATTAGCTCGTGCTCAAACAGCAAAACAAGCTTGGGACATCTTAAATGTGTCACACAAAGGAGACGATCGGGCACAGAAGTCTAAGTTGCAGTCGTTGAGAAGGTTGTACGATAATTGTGAGATGACCTCTACAGAAACAGTAGATATGTATTTCACTCGTCTTATTGATATGGTGAATAAGATGAGATTATACGGAGATACAATTGAAGATGGTGCAGTGGTTGAAAAAGTTCTTCGAACTATGCCGATGAAGTATGACCATGTGGTGGCTTCAATAACAGAGTCACACAAAACTGAGCTCTTATCAATTGCAGAGCTGAAAGGTATGGTAGAAAGTCATATTGACAGAATTGCGTCAAAATCGGAACCACTAGCAGAAGAAGCTTTGAAGAGTCAAGTCACCCTTAATGTGGCCGGCACTAATCAAAGAGGTGGAGGATCTGGTAGAGGTCGTGGAAGAGGAAGAGGAGGTTCTAGTGGAAGAGGTCGTGGTAACTTCAACCAAGGAAGAGGTGGAGGTAATACCAAACAAGGTAAATTTCCATTTCATTGCTACAATTGTGGCAAGTATGGGCACAAGATTGCAGATTGTTGGTATAATGAGGACAACAATCGTGGAAATCAAGCAAACATTGCTGAAAAGTCTGGTGAGAGTTCTGAAACTTTACTTTTAGCCAGCGATAGTTTTTCTGCAGATAAGAACATATGGTTCTTGGATACTGGGTGTAGTAACCATATGTGTGGGAAGAAAGAATTGTTTTCTGAACTGGATGAATCAGTCCGGTCTGAAGTGACATTTGGCAACAAGTCAAAAGTGCCAATTTTGTGAAAAGGTAAAATCTCTATTCAGTTGAAGGATGGTACTCACAATTTTATATCCGATGTGTTCTATGTTCCTGAACTACACCAAAATTTGTTGAGTATGGGTCAGTTGTCAGAAAAAGGATATAAGATACATATTGCTCAGGGGTGTTGTACCATTGCAGATGCTAAAGGAGTTTTGATTGCAAAGGTAAATATGTCCCAAAATCGACTATTTCCTTTGAAAATTAAGCATACTCTCCTTGCTTGCTTTAATTCTGAAGTTTGTGATGATAATTGGTTATGGCATATGCGATTTGGGCATTTCCATTTCTCTGGATTAAACTATCTTGCGAGAAAGGAACTTGTTTCTGATTTACCTGTTGTGAATGTCCCTGATCGTATCTGTGAGATTTGTGTGATTGGGAAGAAGCATAGAGATCCCTTTCCCGTGGGCAAGTCAAGGAAAGCTACAAAACAGTTGGAGATTATTCACTCAGACCTATGTTTGTTGGAGGTTCCCTCACATGGAGGTTGTAAGTACTTTATTACTTTCATTGATGATTTCAGTAGGAAAACATGGGTTTACTTTCTGAAGCAAAAGTCTGAAGCATGTGATGTTTTCAAACAATTTAAGGCTTTTGTTGAAAAGCAAAGTGGTTATGAAGTAAAAATCTTGAGAACTGATAGAGGTACAGAATATATTGCTTGTGATAATTTTATGAAAGAAAAGGGTATTCAGCACCAAATGACAGCTAGATACACTCCACAACAAAACAGAGTGGCTGAGAGGAAGAATAGGTCAATCATGGATATGGTGAGGTGCATGTTGAAATCCAAGGATCTGCCTAAACCTTTTTGGGCAGAAGCTGTTACTTGTGCTGTCTATGTGTTGAATAGGTGTCCAACTAAGAGTGTCCATGATAAGACGCCCGAAGAAGCTTGAAGTGGGAGAAAACCCTCTATCAAATATCTCAAGGTTTTTGGATGTTTGGCATATGCCCACGTGCCGGATCCATTGAGAAAGAAGTTGGATGATAAAGGTGAGAAGTGCATATTCATTAGTTATAGTGACGCTTCAAAGGCTTATAAACTATACAATCCTGAAACTAAGAAGGTTGTTATAAGTCGTGATGTCACTTTTGATGAATATGGTGCCTGGGATTGGTTAGCTAAAGATGAAAGTTCAGTTGTTATTCCTGTTGTTGAAAATATTGTTGATGAGCAACCGATTCCAGATAATGTCCAGTCTCCTTCACAGCCAGAATCGTCAGTTCGGCGATCTCAGCGCGAGCGCCATT